CCAACAAAGGCGGCGGCGGCCCCGCTCGCCACGCCCGCCCGCCGCCCGCGCACTCACCGCCGCCGCAGGCCGGGCCGCCGGGGACGCGAGGGCCGCGGCCGCTGTCACGGCGCCATCCTGCCCGCCGCCGGCTTCCGTGCGCGCGGCCCCGCGGGAGGCAGCGCGGAGGACACGTGGTGGGCGGAGGGAGGGCCCGGCCGCAGCGGAGCGTGTTGGGAGGCGAGGGGAGGAGCGGCGGATGTCAGCAGGCCTGGCGGCGCCGGGACGCCGCCCGCGCCCACCTCCTCCCGCCGCTTCCGGCCGGCGGTGCGCGGCGAGCCCTGCGCGGTCCGCGGGGCCCCGTGCGGTCCCCCGGCGCGCGGGCGAGAGCGGCGGCCTGGCCCCGCCGAGCGCGCTCCTTCGCGTCCCCCGGGACGTGCACTTTCTGGGCGACCGCCCGCCGCTCGCGCGGAGCCCCCGCAGTGCGCTGCGGAGGCCGGAGCTGCGCGGAGGCCCGGGCCCTTGGGCCACCGGGGAGCGTCCCTGTCCCCGCAGGCTTGTTCCCGCCTCGCTTCTCGGAACGCGCGCCTCTGGTTGCCTTGTCCCCTGCCAGATCCCAAGCCTAGAACCCCGTGGACGAAGTCCTGGTGCGTGGACGCCCTTGCCTCCCAGTGCTCGGAGGAGTCCTTGCTGGCGACTCCGTGGCCCACGTAACCAGCGACCCAGAAAGCGCGCACTCCTCAAAAAGACTCTGGGTTTGGATTTTCGTGGGCAACTTAAGAAATAATGACTTTGGCATTTATTAAAACAGTAAGAAGGACTTCATTCAGAGAGAAATGGTATTCAACACGGAATACAGCACCGGAGGCTGGAGCTTTATAGTCAATGAGTAGAACAAGGGAGTGTGTGGGGTCAGTAGATGGGAATCACCAGGTCGTCCAAGGGGGATTTTTTGCTAAACCGATTGAACAGGATTGTTGCTGAAGGCAGGCCAGTGTGGCGGGAGGTGAGGTATTTGGTCAGAGATGACGGGTGATCCACCCCAAGGTGGGGATGCTTTCCGAATCAGCTTTGCAGGATTCTTCCTAAAACTAGGCTGGTCAGTGAGAAGGTTGGGACGGGGGTCAAGGAGTGAAGCCAGAATTTGACAGCTGTCGGTATAGACAGATAAAAGACTGCTCCCTGAGGGAGTGAAATCCCTTGAGAGCCCTTCCTCCTCTCTTCCTCCTCCTCCATCCCCTGCTCCAACCTGTTGCTAAGGTAACCTGTGTGTGTGGGGGGGATGTCCCTCCCTACCTTGAGTTGTAAAAGTCGTTAATTAATATGTCCTGGGCCTGCCCTTCCCCCCTTCCCCCTTCAGCCCACCTGTTTCCCATGTTTTGGCCACCCCACGGAGGTCACCTATGTAGGAAGGAGAAAGAGAAAGGGAAGAGAGCTGGAGAACAAAGGAAGCCTAAGACATCAAAAAGGCGGAACACCTTCCGGGTACCAGGACACCAGCTATGGCCCTTCTCCCTCCTGGGAGAGGTCTGTTGCCCTTATTAAATAAACCTGCTTCATACGCTTCCTCAGCTGCTTCTCTAATGCTAGACTTCAACATGTGGGGAAGCAGGAGTACATCTTTGTCACTTTTAGGAATGTTCTGAGACCTGCCTACCTTCTGGAAATGTTACAAAATTGGGACCTTCTGGGAAACTGGGGGAGCATGAAGATCGCCCCCCCCCCCCATTCCAACCCAGTTCTTAAGTCAGAAGGATTTCAAAATGTCACTCAGAGTAACAGGCATGAGTTTATTGAAGGGACAGGAAAAGGGAGTGGGGACACACTCAAGGGGGAGAGTGGGTCCTTCTTCTCAGAAAAGAAGGAACAAGGAGCTTCTTCACTCCATTTTTATTGGGGATCCCAGAGAAATATCCAGAGATTCCTGCCCAGGTCCACCTCTTGACTTTTTAAAAAATTTTGTTTTAATTTTTTAGTTGTAGATGGACATAATACCTTTATTTTATGTACTTACTGTTATGTGGTGCTGAGGGTTAAACCCAGCGCCTTACATTTGCTAGGCAACAAATGAGTCACAACCCCAGCCCCTCCTCTTGACTTTCGACTGACAGTAGGATGGCATCACACTTTCAAGTCCCCACTGCCATGACTAACTCTGGGTCACCTTGGCCTATGCTGACCATGGTCAGCATGGTTTATGATTCTTAACCATAAATTTTTACAGATTTTATGATTAAGGGGAATTATCTTTATCTCCCTAAGTTTTGGGATCTGGTCCATAAAAAGGGTCACTGAAGTGTCCACCTTCAGGCTAACTTGTATTCCTCTTATGGACACTATCTTCATTTCTCCTGCAGATAACGGGTAGTTTGCTGAGGAATGTGACATCTGTCCAGTTAGGCTAGGCAGGGGTGCAGGTAAATTGCTTCTTGGAAAAGAAAGCATGTGGGGGTTACACAGTGGGCCCATTTTACAGAATTGCTCCCTTAATCTCATGTCTATCTCAAGTCTATGCGCTATCAGGAAGATCTTTTAAATCTTCACATTTTTGTTTATATGTGGATTTAGGAGAGGCTCCTGTGGAGGCTTGCTCTCAATCCATAAACTATAGAATAAACTGCATCAGACACATCTTCCAAGTGGTGTAACTGCTGCCGCCCAGGCCAGAGAAGGCCTAATGGTTGGCTGGAGACTTCAGGTATTGGGAGAAGAGGTTAGGATTTGTATAGGTTTAAATGAATATTTCCTTTTTTGTGTGTAGTTTTAGTATTTTTTGAGCAGGTGCAACAGCTTAACTCAATGTTCCCATCTTTTCTGAGGAAACAGAAATGTTTCAAACAGAAAAGCGGGAAGGGCATCAGGAAGGGGAACTGTTGGGGATGAGGTCCGCGCCTCAACTTCTTTAAAAGCTCAACTTCTGAGAAAGGTTCTGATGTAATCAGAGGACAACATGGTGTTAGGATTTCAGTCCCTGAGAGCCTGCATGTCCTTTGACCAGGTGCCCCTGGGAAGACCTGTGGCCCACAGCCCCCTGGTCTCAGCACCTGTCTCAGGACCCTTCTTCCACAGGTGTATACTTGCTAAGCAGACTTACTCTGGGAGCAAAGTGCTGGTGTAGGCCCAGCACACTGCAGACCTCATCAAGTGGTTTTGTGAATCTCGTCACTTCTCTGCTTGGATTCCTCCATCTGCTGAAAGAGTTGAGCTGCCTGCCCTCCAAGGTCCCCCCACTCTTACTCAGCAGTGCATCTTCTTAGGCTTCATCTCTGATCTGGAATGACAGAAGCAAGGCTTTGAGACAGTGCACGGCTTTATGAGTCAACAGGATGGGTTTCTGGTGGCAGGTGGTTGACAACGTCAGCAGAACACCTGCATAATCAACATGACAGTCCTTCAGTGACCTACTGTCCGACCTCATCCTTTCTCCTCGTGAATTACTGCAGGACACCAGGGGTTCCAAAGAGCTCCAGGTCCCACACAATACTCCTTTTGAACTCCTGTGTCCTCTGGCAAACACACATTCCGACTTCCCGGGCAGAGCTCTGGGGCTTCGGTGCACGTTCCTCCATGTTGGAGGCCGGTGGTAGATTCTGCAGCCTCCGAAGGCTCTGTCCCTGCAGCAGTGTTATCCACCACGTCCTTGCCGAGGCAGCCTGTGCAGAAAGTACTTGGCTGGCCACGTGAGGTCCTTTGGCCAGTGGAGTGTGGGTGGAAGTGGCTGTGTGGTCCAGGACGTCCTGAGAGTTTCATGTGTCCACCTGCACCTCTCGAGCTTTGGACCTTGGCCATGGCAAAAAGCTTGGAGGGTAGTCATGGCCTTTGTCCTTGGGGCCAGAATGAGACACCTGTGATGAGCTGCCTTGGTCAATGTGAAGGCAGTGACCATGAGGAGGGGTCATTGCTGTTTTAAGCCACTGCAGGATGGCATAGCATTTTTGTGGCCTTAGCTAATTGAGACAGGGACAAAGGGCTTAGACTAAAGTGTTTCAGTGTTGACCCTTATGAGGATGCTCATTTCATGGCAGGTATCCTTAGGTGTGTGGACAGGAGGTGCTGGATGGGGAGGGAAGGAGGGGAGGAACAGATGGGGAAAGAGTCATTGCTGACCGTGTCCTCGTCCCTGGAATTCTGGCACTTCAGAGGGGAGGAAAATGCGAATTTAATAAAACTGCAAGATATTTTGGGAGATCTTATGGTGGCAGGATGGAAAGGGAAGCCCTGCTCTGGTATTTCTTAGGGCTTAGCAGTTCCGGGGGAGGAGGCTTGTGGTTAGAGCACACCAGAAGGTTCAGGAGCTCCAACTGTTTTAAGTCTCCACCTCAACCCAGGGCCTTGTAGTTTTTTCATCTACCAAGGTCAAAGGGAAAAGAGAAACAGGTAGCCTTGTTCTTGGCTCTGCAGGGACACATATCTCTTCTGCTCATGTTTTGATGGTTAGGATCAGTTACATCCACACTATAAGGACACTGCCTGTCGGACAGTTGTTTTCTAGTGACGGTTCCATACATGGAAAGGGGGACAGGCTGAATTTTTCCTGCCACAAGGGTGCTCTTCTCAACGATTTAAACATCTCCACTCTTCTGTCACTCTGCTCGCAAGGTTTTTGAAGAGATGTGCTGCCCCCGTCACTCGTGTGAATTTCCAGGGACACCAAATAAAACACAGACACCACTTTACCTTTAAACAATCTTCAGGGCGACTTCTCTGCTCTGGGCCTCAGGCTCCCCATGGGAGAGCAAGAGAAAGTCACGAGAGGCTGGCGCGAGAGCGAGCGCCTGCGGAAGTGGGCTTTCATTGGGGGGACCCTTGTCTTAGAAAGTTCCATCTAAAAAAGGCCAGAAGGAGCAGGCTTACAAGGTCGGTGAGTGTAATTCAGCCCGAGGGGCGTCGCCGACACCTGAAGACACTTCTGTGATGTACAGTTTCCTCACTGTTTTGCTTTTCCATTTGGAAGTTTCTGTTGACATACTTCAGCGACGGAGGTGCAGCCAGTCGATGGTGTGGAAAGTTCTCCACTGCTGTGACAGTGTTCCAGACTGTCCCTGAGACCCCCTCTCGGGACATCACCACCTCTTCTTGCGAGGGGCTCCCTCTTGCCGCAGGAGCCCTGAGCGCACCACTCATGGCGACTTCAACTCTCAG